TCTCTCTCTCTCTCTCTCTCTCTCTCTCTCTCTCTCTCTCTCTCTCTCTCTCTCTCTCTCTCTCTCTCTCTCTCTCTCTCTCTCTCTCTCTCTCTCTCTCTCTCTCTGCCACATACATACGCACGCAAGCGCACCCACTCCACATAAAAACACACTCCCCCTCTCTCTCGCTTTGTCTGTCTTTCTATCTATCACTCTCACTTCCTTACTTTCTCCTACTCTCTTTTTCTTCCCTCTCCGCTTTCCGTCTCACATCCACCACCCTTCTCCTGTCCCCCTCTCCCTCTTTCTATCGCTCACGGTCACTCGCCCTTTTTTATCCGCTATTTGTCTCTCCCCTTCCTCTCTTTTCTTTCCCTCTATTTCTGTACCTTTCCTCTCTCACGCATCTCGAACGCCTATACCCCACTCTAGGCGCGTGTTTCACTCTACGGCTGCCGCACACACAATGTCGTAGTGATCAGTATTCCGGTCGGATAGCGAGTGTGTGAGCGATTGACAATAGCAAAACCACTACGGCACGATTTCTCTTGAAGAGGGTGAGAGAGCGCAGGAGAGAGAGAGAGGAGAGAAAGAGAGAGAGAGGGAGAGAGAGAGAGGGGGGAGGGGGATGGGGTAGAGAGAGATGGTAAACGAAAAAGAAGAAGAGGGAAGCGTCTACGTGTAAAAATGCGCCTGGTGACGTGGGTGGGTAAGTTGGTGGGCGGTTGCATAGGTGGGTGGGTGGGTAGGTGGGTTGGTTGTTGGGTTGGATGGGTGAGTGGGTAGGTGGGTAGGTGGGTTGGTTGTTGGTTTGGATAGGTGAGTGGGTGGGTGGGTAGGTGGGTTGGTTGTTGAGTTGGATGGGTGAGTGGGTGGGTGGATAGGTGAGTCACTGGGTGGGTAGGTGGGTAGGTGCGTTGGTTGCTGGGTTGGATGGATCAGTGGGTGGGTGGGTAGGTGGGTTGGTTGTTGGGTTGGATGCGTGAGTGGGGGAGTGGGTAGGTGGGTTGGTGTAGTCGTTGTTAGATTGGATGCGTGAGTGGGTGGGTGGGTAGGTGGGTTGGTTGGTGGGTTGGATGGATGAGTGGGTGGGTGTGTAGGTGGATTCACTGTTGGGTTGGATGGGTAAGTGGCTGGGTGGGTAGGTGGGTTTGTGTATTCGTTGTTGGGTTGGATGGGTGAGTGGGTAGGTGGATAGGTGTGTTGGTTGTTGGGTTGGATGTGAGAGAGTGAGAGAAAGAAAGAGGGAGAGAGAGGGGGGAGAGGCAAAAGGAGGAAAGAGGACCGCAGGGAAATAACGGCTAGATGCCATCACTTCATTACGCACCGCCCACTTGTTTGAGAGGTCTATACTTTGATAGATTATGGACATTGTCTCGTCATCAAGATATCATTACAGATATCGATTCGTCATCTAATGGATTCTGCCGCGCAGGCGTAGTGAAATGACCAGCATGATAAATTGACTCCCATGTTAATATAAGCCTCATAGTGAAGTCCCCCCACGGTGTTAAAGTCCCCTCGTGCTTAGATGGGTCATTCATTGGGGGACCCCATTCTCAATGCTCTCGCTTTGCCGTACGTTGAGATTGTTAATATTTTTCTCCGGTAGAGTGCGCCACCGACGCTGCTGGTGGAGCGCAGTAGGATAGGGGAGACGTCGGACCGCCTGCATCCCCGCCTCGCTCTCCGTAGCACCTCGTGCTCGCCGCCACGCGAGAGGAAGAGCCACCTGGTGCAGCACAGCAGAAGCATGGGTGCGTACTAGCGGGACAGAGAGTTTGAGAAATGAGAGAGTGGAGGAGAGAGAGTTTGCGAGGGGAAAGAAGAGAGAGTTGACGCGGAGGAGAGAGAGGAGGGAGAGCGAGATAGAGCGGAAGAGAGAGAGAGGGGAGCGAGATAGAGGCAGAGAGAGGAGAGAGGTGGTCGAAAATGGAAGGAAAGGTCAGAGAGAAGGGTGGCAGGTTGTACGATAAGAGGGACAGCGAGAATGAAGGAAAAGGGAGAGGACAGGGGCGAGTGGGAGAGCGAGAAAGTGATGGGGAAGCCAGATCTCGCGGGAGAGAGAGAGAAAACGAGAAAAGAAAGCGAGAGAGAGAGAGAGCGCGCGCGCGCGGTTGGATTTAGTGTGATTCGGAAAGAGATATCACGTGTCATCGCATACCATGATACGACACGACACCATGATACGACACGACACGACATTTACATAAATTGTTGATAAATCCTCTCGTATATAGGTTCTCGTCGAGCGTTATTCTGACGAACTATAACAAATAAATCGTCGATTTTCTTTCAAAAACACACAACCAAGGCTAAATCTCGTCAGGTTCTCTCGGCGTGGTAATTGTAGCGAATTCGCTATACGCTTGCCAGCATTATTAATCTCACGCGATATATAAGCTCGACTCGGCGGGTGTCACATGAATTTCAACAAACCTGTCTGGCAACTATGCGGGATTGTTACATATAAGGCTTCGTGAGAAAAGACGGGATCGAGTGAGGTGGTGTGTACTGCGCGTGATGACTCGTGATTCGCCTCTTGTATTCAACGTAATAAATTCCCGTTAGAGTTAACAGGATTGCAGGTTGCAGTTGTGGATATTTTCGGCTATAGTTATAGTCAGATTTATGGTTAGGTTTAGCGTTACGGTTATGGTTACAGTTTGGGTTGTGTTTGTGGATATGGGGTAGGGTTAAGTTTAGGGTTAGGATTAGGGCTATGGATATAGTTATGGTTATGCTTATGGTTCGAGTTACGGTTAGTGTTAGGGTTAGGGTTAAGATTGAGTTTGGAATAGAATTAGTGGGTAAGATTGATGGTAAGGTTAGGATGACGGCTAGGGTACATATTAACGTCAAGGTTAGGGTTAGGGTTAGGGTGAGAGTAAACCGACCAGGCTCTCCGACTAGTTACACGGCGGAGGAGTGTAACTCTCAGGACTATGGAGGAGGAGTGTAACTCTCTAACTCGGAGGTGTGTAACCTCTCGCCACGTAGTGTTAAGCGAGATGGGAACTTGTGGCTAGGGTGAGAGAAGATTGTCATGATTAGAACTATGGTTACAGTAATAAGTATATTTAATATCTAGCCATGCATGGATTCCTCCCCTCTCCCTACATCCCGCGCGCACGCGCACGGCGGTGACACGTACAATCAGACGTCTGCTGAATGAAGTCACAGCGTTTGTTAAGATGTCGTCTGCGCGAGGCGCGCGACTGGCAGACGCCATCCTCGCTGATGGCTGTTCTCATGTTTCGTTGTCATTTCACGTACGGTGGATAGCGGCGCGTACAAAGGAGCGCAGTCCGATGCGGCTTGTTACGGATCGTCTGACTTCAATCGCGCAGACGATTTCGAAACGCAGCAGACGAGGCTAATCTTACTAGTGACGTCATGCTTACGTCTCTGGCTAGCTAGGCGTTGTTTTGCGCTTGACGTCACCGCCTTATCACGTGTAGTGAAAGTGATACCGATCTTTATGACTTGATCTGTACACAAAATGTTAGATAATTTAATGATGATGATGATGGCGAGGATGATGATCGCAATGAGGTTGATGATGATCATATTAATATAGTTATTATTATTATAAGTGATAGTAGTAGTAGTAGTAGTAGTAGTAGTAGTAGTAGTAGTAGTCGTCGTCGTCGTCGTCGTCGTCGTCGTCGTCGTAGTAGTAGTAGTAGTAGTAGTAGTAGTAGTCGTCGTCGTCGTCGTCGTCGTCGTCGTCGTCGTAGTAGTAGTAGTAGTAGTAGTAGTAGTAGTCGTCGTCGTCGTCGTCGTCGTCGTCGTCGTCGTAGTAGTAGTAGTAGTAGTAGTAGTAGTAGTCGTCGTCGTCGTCGTCG